TTAATTGTTGTTAGCCAATTTCTTTCATCACCAAATCTAATTCATTTAATTTTAGTTCGAATAAGTTTATAGAATTAGTTTTTAAACCAAAAATATCATTAATTCTAACTAATAAACATTCTAATGGAGGAGCTAGTTGATATATAATTTTATCTACCGGGTTTACATTCACTATTTAGGAATCCCCATCTTTTGATACATCTAATACATTTATAGACGACATTCCAATTGCATTTCTTCACAACCAACTGAACATTTAGCTACATACAAGTTAAAAGTCTAAACTCTCCAATAAGCATTCTCTTCTGAATTTTTCACTGATTTCATTTCTATTTCTTGAGATTTATGATATGTATTGGCATCAATATTAATTATCTTTACTTATTGTTCAGAACAAAAAATGCTGGAGTTCAAAGAATAGATCTGAGTGGAATACTTAGATTGATTATCGATATTTAAATCAAATACTTGTTAATTCCATTTGCCAATTACCCAAAGTTTGACAACTACATGAACCTTAAAGTGAGGAGGTAGATTTAACTGAGATTTTCGATACTTTGTCCTTTAAAAAGTTTATCAATACCTCCTGCAATCTATAGACTAGCTCATTTGCAATTATAATCTATTCTAGAATTTTTATGAAAACTTAATATGTTGTAGTGAAGAATTAAAATTAAATTTAAAATTGTTCATTTTAACAATTTTGTATAATATAATTTCTATAGAAACTCAATTTTATATTCATTCTAGAGTTTTATCTTTGGTGAAATTAGAAAAGGATTATTTTAATAACAAACTTCTACGTAATAACTGATATCCAAATAATCTTCAATTACTTTTTTCCGAAACTATCTATTTACTATAATCATAATTTCCACAATATTAATAGAGTAGAATGATGAGTAAAGTTGTAATAGGAATTCATTTTAATATAAATAAAATCAAAAAGTGGATCTTTAATTTTTCAACTATCTATTTTTATAATATTCTTGCAATAGATCTATTCTATTTTAATACTCAAGCCATGGTTATAACTTTCTTTGTGTTTGATTTACTTACCCCAAGCAATTTTGATAAAAATTATAAAAAGAAAATCTCTAATTATTCCTTAAGAATTTTTCAAAGAAGTTATTCTTATAATTTTTATTAATCAAGAAAATTAAGAAATTATTTTACTAAAATAAATTTATATCGAAAAGTAAAGAATTTTTTCTTTAACTATTTCTAGTCAATTTAAATATTTTTTAGGGGTTATAAGCCTATTGTATTTTTGATGAAATTTTACAACTGATTTTTTTTAATTATTGTAAAAATTGTAACTGAAACTTCCCTACTTTCAGAGACTTAGATTGCTTATAAGGGCCATCAGGATTTTGGAGCCCTTCAAGGAAGGAGAGTTAATTTTTGAATCCTTTGCGTCATTTAGAGCAAACTCAGTCTTGTCGGCAAAGAATCAATAATGCAAATTCGTAAGGATATACTGATTAGGATCGATCCCCATAATTACCTTCGGAATTGCTCCGACATTACCTTACTCGTACATCACATGAGAATAAACCTAAATTTATCCTGCTTTC